TTGATTTTTTTTTTCATTTCAAAGGTTTGGGGTTGGTAAGATATTTAAAAGCTTTTGAAAGAAGTCTCTTCTGCTCACAAAGGCTGCATTTATTTAATCAGAAATACAGTAAGTACAGTAATATTTTGAAATGTTACAATTTTAAATTACTGTTTTTCATTTTAATACATTTTAAAATGTAATTTATTTCTGTAATGGCAAAGCTGATTTTTTTTAGCAGCTATTACTTCAGTCTTCAGTATCACACGGTCCTTCAGAAATAATTTGAATATGCTGATTTGGTGCTCAAGAAACATTTCTCATTATGATCACTTTTGAAAATTTGTGCCTCTCAATATTTTTGTGGAAACTCAGATTTATTTATTTTTTTTGATGAATAAAATGTTTGAAATAGAAATATTTTGTAACATTATCTTTACTGTCACCTTTTATCAATTTAATGCATCAATGTATTATTACATTTCTTAAAAACATTTATAAAATAAATCTTACTGACCCCAAAATTTTGAAAGGAAGTGTACCTCAACTGAATACAGTCCGGTAACACCTGAATGAATGACTCTTATGAGACCGTTCTTTTTTCTGATTCAGAACCTTGCAGCACAACCAGTGTAGTTAGATTCCCGAAAGGATGACTCTAATGTATGAGTCAGTCCTTTGTTGTGTCTCAGAACCATACAGCGTGACCTGTAGTCCAACCGATTCCAAACAAATTACTCTTACTCTATGAGTCTGTTCTTTTAATTGATCCAAACAATACAGCATGACCAGTGTTCTGTACAGTCCAGTCTGATTCCTGATTGAATGACTATTATGAGATTGATTTTAGTCAATTAAAACCATACAGTGCAACCTCTGCAGTCCAATGAAATCCCAAACAAATGATGCTTATGAGCCAGTTCTTTTTAAATAATCAAAAACAAACACACTTGTTTGGTTGACAGCGGAACTGAATTTCTTCCTCAAAATAACAAAAAAAAAACATATTAATGGACCATTAAATCTATCTATCAAAAAACAACAACAACAACACGGTGAGTAAATATGTTCTGAGATCAACATTCTCACTGTCACCATTTTAGTTTTTATGGACACGTGGGTTGCTTCTCAAACGGAAGGCTGCGTCCTTCCTAGTTAAGTCCTTCAGAGTCTTGTAGGCTTGAGTCCTCCTCGGCATTAAACGCTAGAATGAGAGTCTAGTAAGTGCTCGTGGCTATGTCACATATATTCCCGCCCTCACGGCACAAAAACACTAATAAAACTTAGTTTAAAAAAAATACTTTGTATTACAAATCTTTATATTATTTTGCTTTCTATTAATGCAATACAATGAATCCCAGTCGTCTAGTCTCCCCCCGTGGCTTAAATTATTGGCAGTTTAGCGTTTAGTAAGTAATTTACACCAAAACAAAAGATAAGATCTATCCTTTCATGTCCAAAAACATTATTTTTGTCTTACGTTGCATAATAAATTCAGACAAGCTCAGTACTGTACTCAGTGATTTTCATGAAATGGAAGGCTGCCTTCCAAGGATCCTTGCGACTGAGATGGCCTTCAGCGACGTTTGATGACGTGGCAGCAGACATATGCAGCCTTCGGAGGATGCAGCCTTCCGTTTGAGAAGCACCCCTTGTTTCTGTGTTTTCCGTCTTCTGTTTTGTTTTAGTTCCTGTGTGCCCTTATTTGGTTATGTTCCTGATCTCGTTTAGCCTCATTAGTTTACCTCGAATCACCTGTTTAGTTAATTATCCTGATCTGTCTTTGTATTTAAGTTGCTCCCTTTTTTTGCCACTCGTTGTTCGGTCACCGTTATACTAAGTTGTGTTTTTCCTTGTGTATCTGCCTAAGTTTGAGTCCACTATTAAATTGAGAGTTTTGGACTTTCCCTGCTGTGTCCTTTGCCTTGCTTCAACACAACCCGTGACACTCACAACATCCTTTATGATGTTATTTGTACTTGAACATTCTAAAAAACGTTTTTTGTAACCTTTAAATAATGTTCTAATCACAACAAGAAAACTGGGCATTTTAATGTTCTTAGAATATTAAAAATAAATGTTCAAATAATGTAATTTGGGGTAAAAAATAAAGTAAGTAGAATGCTGTAAGAAACATTTTTGTAACCTTTAAAAATGTTTATAATCACAAACAAGAAAACTGGACGTTTCGACATTTTAGAATTATTTCAAAACAGCGTTTTTATAACAAAAATGTGTTAACTGAGCTCATCCTGTAGTTTTCAGTTCAAATGCTGTATCTCTCGCTCTCTTTCTGTGTTAGGGGAGGGGGGTTGCTGTATATCACTGCTGTGCAAACAGTTTAGTGTGTGCATCCCTCAAGCAGCCAGTCGCCCACTGCACCCTTTCACTGCAGACCACACTCAATATGCAAACCACTACAAGTTTAGTCTTGATTTTGACAGCCAAGAGCAATTTCTCAAAGCGCACTGTGTTTGATCCAGCACTGTTTGACAGTTTGTGCTCCCTCAGATTTTTCCTAATAGTCTAGTTTCAGCAGACTGGACTTGAGCTGAATCTGGTCCTTAGAGTCAAGTTGTCATTTGTGGTGTTTGCGATATGGGCTGTATGACATGTACATATATTAGACGGAGCAGCAGTACCCTGGTAATTGACTGAAGGGCTCTCTCTCCTCTCATAGCGCTGCTGACTGAGCTAAAAGGCTTTAGTGGCTAATGTCGGTGAGTAGTGCGTCTTAATCCTGTTGAGAGCGCAGCCGAGGGTGAAATCCTTCTTTGATTATTGCTTGCTATCGTTGGCTCTTTCCAAAAAAAAAAAAAAACGATTCAACCGCACAGGCAGGAAATCACCAGCAAGACTCCCCACCCAGGGCATAATATGTGCTCTGCTGCATCTCTGGAGAAGTAAGGAATATGGGATTGATGGCTGCAGATGTTTTATGACTGTCATTTAACACACTTCTCCTCAAATAGAGCCAAAAAAGGTTGAGCCACATAACTTCTATCCTAAACTATATCCTCCTCCTATGCATTGTCCAACAAACCTGAGTATTACAGTTTGACCCTCTGCTGCCCAACTCACTCTACAGCATGTTATTAACCTGCTCTCCTGATGTGCTATAAATGTACTAAATTCAGGCACAGAGATAAGAATAAGGGATACTTGTCAATGGGGATTCATACGATGTTGAAGGGTTCAAGCGGTAGCAGGTTTTAATAGGCATTGTCTGTGAGTGTGTGTGTGTGTGTTTCTGACAGTATCTGTGGTTTGCTGTAATTTACCACAGACAAACATTCTGACTCATCCCTCAGTACATAAATTTACATTTTTATAAACCCTGAGTCAGATAAAGGTAAAAATATTTGGGTATCTGTTCATGATGGAAGGCCTGTTTTATTTATAATGCGCCTTCCTGTAGAGCATGGCGCTAGCAACGCCAAGGCCATTGGTTCAATTCCCAGGGAAAACAATAACTGATTAAATGAGTACCTTGAATGTAATTGTAAGATGATAAAATCATCTGCCAAATGCATGAATGTAAATGTAACTATCAGAAGAACATCAGCAAAAATATCCACAAAAACTACTAACATTATATATTAATATAATACAATATAAAGTATGAAATTACTCCTTTAAATTAGACCTTAACTTCTGTTACATCATGAGATTGGACATTGTAACTAGAATATATTTAGAAATATCAATTTATTTAATAAATTATTTAAAAAAAATTAAAGTTGTCATGTAACAGAAGAAGCGACGTTTCTATAGGATTTGATTTTGCAAAACGCCTGAATATTCCTTTCAGTGAGCTCTTTTGTGCCGCTGATCTTTCCACACATACACCAGCCATTCAATCTTATCTTTAACTGACTCTTTCTCAGCAGCTTGGTTTAGTTTTCTCCCTCTCTTTTTTCCCTCTCAATTGCTTCTGAAAGAGGATCAATAATTCAAGAGAGCAAATACAATGTGAACCGTTTCTCACATCATCTCTCTGAACATCTGTCATACACACTCTCTCTCTCATAAAACATAATCTCGTGTCATATTTGTTATTAAAAAAATTATTTGTGTTGAAGAAATGTCTTACTGGCCCATGCATAATTTCTGAAAATACAGTGCACTAATGTAATGTTGATTTGTTATTGTATTTTTTTTGGAGACTTGGCCAGACCAATTAGCAGACCAAATCATGCTTAACAATACCTTACAAAAGCTTTCTCTTTGATATTTTCTTTCTGAATTACTCATTGATCAGATTTCTTTTTTTTTGCACTTTTCCTTTGTTAATCCCATAGCTTTGTGTGATTGCACACGATGGCATAATCCTATAATCTTCAGTTCGATCGACTCCTCAGTCTCACTGATCTTCTCTTTTGGCAGCAAACACATTTCAGTGACTGAGAATAAGTCAGCATTCACCTCCTACATATGAAGCACTATATATACCTAAGTGTTTTAATTCCGTCTGTAGCATTATTCATAACCTGATTTTACATTATAAACTGCTGACAGCATCAGCTTCATTGCTAACATTTCATTCCCAAATTGGATTTAATGCTCTGCTCCTGTTGGTTTATGTGAGATGGCACTGTGATTATAGCACAGCACCGAGGTCCCATGGGTAAAAAGTGTGAATGAGGGAGAGAGGCCTGCTGGACTTGAGAGGTTAAAGGGTGAAGGAGCATGAGAGAGAGAGACTGAGTGGAGTGCTGCTGGTTAATGAAGGGTAAAGGAGAAAAAGACAGAACAGAAAGAAACAAAATGCGGAGGATATAAAATAGTTAATGTTATCGCTATTTTTTTTCAACACCCTTCATATCCACAGAATTCTCCTCCCTGCCATCCTGATGACCATATCATTCCCTGCACATGAAATATTGATAAAGTCACCTGTGATGGAGCTCACTTCCTTCTGTTTCCTTTAATGCTTGAGAAGTGATTTCACTTGACGGTGTTGGCGTTGAACGTGCTGCTCTGTTCTTTAGTCTCAAAAATCTGTTTTCTTTTTGTTTCAGGTGCTTTTGTCTGGACTGATCGGAGTGGTGTCATGGAAAAGACCACTTTCTTTGGTGGTAAGAAATGAATAATAGTATACTAATAAGCATGTAGTGTTTTCGTGTATTAGTTTGTCTGAATAAATTATTAAACTGCTAAAAACTAAACATTTAATAAAAATTTGTAATTTATTTACAGTATGAAGAATGGATATTCATTTTGAGATTTGCTAAAGATTACACTTAACAGTGTTAATTCAATTATTAGCGTTTTTAAAGATTAACCTTAAAGCAGCACTATGTAACTTTTGGCGCTCTAGCGGTTAATAAACAGAACTGCACACATCCCGCAGAAGAACATTCCAACCGGAGCTACTTCTCTAAGTTTATGTCTATGGCGATTCACGCAGGTATGTGTTACTCCGTTACTCTGGACCAGGCTACAATAGTCCAAATATAAGTACTTATTATAATTGTACTGTAGTGATTCTGAATAAGACAAAAATGCGGTTTGGAAGATGAATTCATGATGTACTCGCTCATTATATACATTTTGCAAATTTTGAACACAGAAAAAGTTACATAGTGCTGCTTTAACTCCGCATTAGACGATGGCAAAGGCATTCTGAATGTCAAAGTAGAGGAAATTAACATGTAAAATCAAATACATGTACAATCAAAAAAAATAAAAATCTAATATATCTAATATTGGCCAATAATAGTTATATTGTGCATCCTTATTTAATTCTTGAATTATTATGTTTATTAACCCCCAGTTGTGAATGTATTGTTACGCCTTTTGGGATTTTTAAGTTATTTAAATGTTCAGAAATAACGATTTAGGCGATTTCTTTCTTCCATTCGTAATATACCGTTACCAGTACATGACATGCACATATATGTTAGACTTACAGAGGCTAATTTTCCTCTTTGCCCTCTGCCCTGTCTGAATTTTGCTGCGGATTTGTTCGGTTGTGTGATGCTAAGGCATTATCACAGCGAGCACTATCAGGAAGGAGCTGGAGGGCTTCTGATTGCCTGTCATGTAGTGCTCTGTAGACAGCGTGAACGTCTGAGCGGAGCATGCACAGATCCAGCCTGGCAGTCAGTGGAATGGGAATGGAATGTAAAGTATATGCATTGGGTTTTGCTCTGTTCAGCCAGCCGTTCTGCTCATGCATAATTGCAGCAGGGATTGGGCACACTGGCTGAATTTTTCATGCCTCTTGTTCTGTGGGATGGGCTGGCTCCGGAGGGAGCATTAATGGAGAATGTACAAGTTTACAGATTGCAAAATGGGTGGGATGTTGTTAAATCCATACCCTGACACAAAATCACACGCGTAAGACAAATGCATACACAGACAATTGCTCTAAGTGGTTCACGCAATGGCAGACAAAGCCCTGTACGTTAAAAAATATTCTGTCATCATTTACTCACCCTCATGTAATTCTAAATAATTTTCTGTCTTCCGTAGACCACAAAAGATGATGTTAGGTAGGATGTTTATTTTTCATTCAATGAAAGTGAATGGTGACAAAAAATAAATAAATCAGTTGTCTATATGACTTGTGCACTATATTTTTATTTTAAGTCATCATTTTCCCTTCTATTGTAGATATCAAATGTCACTGACAGCTCCTCATTCACTGGCATTGAATGGAAAAGAACAGTATGAACAATATACTAAACATCTCATTTGCACAGGGTCACTTTTTACATTTTATGTAAAAAAGAAAGGAATTCAAACAGGTTTGGAACAACGTGAGGGCGAATAAATTATGTCAGATGTTTTATTTTTCAGCTAACTATCCCATTAACAAACCTTTGCACAACAATGTTTCACCATATCATCAAAACTGCCAACACTGTTCTGAACATGCTTGTCTGATTCTTGTATCACTGAAGTGTTTACTATGGGTTGGAGCAACATATTAACTCTGCTCAGATGTGATGCATTATTATTTTAAACTATTTGAGATTTAGCAAAAACGCTTAAGCTGAAAATATACCAATGTTGATGTTTTTCCTATTTGGATGTGGCATGTTTTGCTGTTGTCCTGACTTGTTCTTTTAAGCCTGATGATTATGCTCTTTATATTTTATATTGAATTATATATTCAACTTATTTCCTCTGATGCCTTTTGTATTATTTGTATAGTGGTCACATAATGTCATATTTCTCCTCATCTCTGGACTGTCGTTCTGGGGAGATCAAGATCTCATTAGATGATTATCTTTCTCTCTTCTCACTATCTGTCTCTCACTCTATCAGTCTCTTTCTCTTTTTTCTGTATGATCTCTCTGGCCTTCTCTTAGTAGTACACAAGTCTAGATCAAAGAATGAGATGAGTTACAGCATGAGATATGTCTCTCTGTGGGATTCAGGTAAACACGGCATTTTATGGCCGAGATGAAGTACTGTAGTTAAGCAACAGACCCCAGACTCCATCAGCATGAGGGAACGGACGCTTGAGTAGTTTGTTGTTTATCTGCACAAATGATTTCCTCATACACACCGCGCACATGCATGGAATCCTCTGGAAGTCGTCCTCAAATTCCATGCTTTACTTAAAAACGCCTGGGCATTTGACTAAATTGCCTCTGCTGTTAATGAATCTACAGTAAACACTTTGCACACATATGGTATCTTGCAGTCCAGGAAATGTAGAAGTTGTCTGATTGACAGATCTTGTAAAGGGTTATTAATTTATTGCAGAAACGAAAATGGCAGGAGAGCACAGTATTCACATGGACTGAGGTTTGTTAAACAGTCATCTTCAACACAGTAATGCACAGCAGGACAGTAGATTTTTCACACACCTATGAAAAGATGACCTTGATTAAAAACCGGTTGAATGAACTTGAAAGGACATTGATTGACATTCATTCTCATGTGTGCAGGCCTGTAGACTGTAGTGATATTGACACGCCTGTTATCAGCAAAGAAACCCTTTAATGGATCTATGACTTTGCACGGATCTGCGACAATAATGATCTCCTTAAAACTGTGGTTAAAATGAACCTGGATCCCAGTTCATGAATTATTAAAGCTTGTTTGTGTCCTGTTTGTCTGAATTGATTTAGATTCATTTTGTGTGTTTGGAGGGACTCAAAGCATGTAGAGAGGCCTGGCTCTGCTCCTCATCAATTATTAGTTTTCATTACGGGTGTACTGTATATATAGGGGTGCTTTTTTCACCCCTATAGTGTCTTGGTAAATTATGAAATTTGGTCACATGTCCTTTGGTATGGTTCCATTTCCTGAAGTACGCTGAACACACCAAAGTAATGGAGGGACAAAATGTATGCTATTTTAATGCATCTACTCCAGAAATGTTTGAATTTGGTGGATTTTTACAACTAAAAAAATACGTTATATTACATTTGAGTGGAGTATTATAGTAATTTTAATCAATGCTTTTTTAAAAGTAAATTTTCTTTGACATTTTGACGCATCACAATACAGTGATGCATTTTACACCCCTGGTTTTCTTTTCTTTTCTTTTTTACACCCCTAATTAATTAAATGTCAGGTGGTTTGTTTGTTGTAATATATGAATATATTGTTTATTTAATTGTGCATGCTCATTTATCTTGTTTTTACAATTAGATGCAGTTTTTGTTTGTTTGTTTGTTTGTTTTTGGATGTGAGGGCATTCCTGAAGGTATTATTTTACAAAACTGAAATGCAGCAGTTTGTAAGTAATGTGTAAATCATCCTCACTCTGCTTTTTTGCTAGTATGATAGAAGCAGGACACACAAATGTGCTTTAGAGAATTCAAAGCATGAATTTTCTTAATGTAGGATTACAGGAAGTAATAAATCTAGTCTCCCTCTGATGCAGTGCAGTGTAGGGTACCATCAAGAAGCCATGAAAGATCAATGAGGCCAGTTCTGTTTAAGATAAGGTCAATGATATTGAACGTATGTATGTTTATAGGCCAATACTGACTGCTGGGAGGAACATGGAGCATGCATGTTGTGAAATGACTTTTCGGTGGTGTTTTTCCCCATGTTCCTCTCTGCTTTTGCATTCATTAACCTTTCCACTGACAGATTCCAGCCGCATATGTGCTTCTCTCTGAGTACCATGTGATTAATCTGATGCCTATGGGCCGCTCAGAGACTGCAGTGATATTACTTTCAGAACGGCCTCAATCGCTCTCAACTCCTCATGACCCTTATGATATCTACCCTGCACCACACATATGCTGTACTCCTAAACATTCCTTTAATATTTCCCACAATCTTTCTCAAGGGCATGCATGGAGTTTCAGCTGCCTCCCTCCTGCTGGTCCAGTTGACTAGGCTGAAAATTGTTTGCTTTTTCTGATTATTAATATAATCTGGGTTCCTGTCTTTTGTTTTGAGAATTTTACCTGTCAGTGTGAGACTTGGGGATTCAATAATCTCTTTTATATTTGAGTCTGATATTGTTTCACATGTTTTGAGAACTGAACCTGAGGTCCTGGATTAATATTTTATAGTGTTTGGGGTTGTTGTAAGGATGAGTTCTATGGAGCACTGCCAGAGAGTGTGTGTGTGTGTGTGTTTTGTTTGCGTATATGTCCCAGGAGTGGTGTGTTTCCTGGTAGAGTAAGTCTGTTCAGTTTCTGAGATACTCTTTCTCTGGCTTCTCTCTGCTCTTTCTGTCTGTCAGTGTATTGCTGGAGTTCAGGATTGTGTTATCCTGAGGGAGGAGAACGAGTGCCCTAAAGAGTATCCCATTATCGACTGTGTACAACAGTAGTTTTCAAACTGCTGTAGACAACACAACCCTGGAAATTTACAAAAATATAAACATTGTTCAAATTCATATCTAATTTGCATTACCGAATATAGACCTGTCTCAGTATGGCAGCACAGTAGAGTGGCCTTGTTCTGCAGTCAAGCAAAGTGTCTGTAAGCTAAGCTGCATTCATTAGCTCTTTTTTGGTTTAGCTCCCATATAAAACAGGAAGCCTCAGGCTTGGCTTTGGACTTTAGACCACTTGGCTATTTAATAAATCTAATATGGTTATTAACTGGCTGAAAATTGATCCCTTTTAAGAGACAGAAGAAATTGCTCTAGCAT